TATGTATGTGTTAATTTATTGAAGAAAATGGAAAAAGTGATCCCAATCGATGGACGATCGAGATGCAAAATAAAAGATAAATGGAATGCAATTTGATAATTCCGTATCTACCTATTTCATTATCGCCTCCTATATGTTTAAACAGAAGAAAGAAAAAGAAGATAAAAAGAAAAAAAAAAGAAAGAAAGAAAGAAAGAAGGAAAGAGAGTTAACGAGAAGATGAACGCTAGATGGACGTTTCGGCGTCAAAGAAAGTTATCCTCATCTATCCGATCGATGGTAAACAATCGATTAAAATCAATAGAAGTTACGAATGAATTGAATATCGTCTATTTTTTGATTCAAATAATTAATTGATAAAATTAATTACGAAGCATTCCCTCATATTTTACGTAATATCTACGAAAGCATCTATATCGTAAAAAGACACGATACTTTTTTTCCCACCCTCCTCCAGTCCTCCTCCTCCTCCAGCTCCTCTTCCCTTTTCGTTATTTTGTTTCTTTTTGTTTTCGTCACCTATTGTCGAGAATGGAAGTTAAGAAGAGAGAAAAAAAGAAAGAGAGAAAGAGAGAGAATGCACGAAGCACACGTACATAAGTGTACATGTATCTATGCACGTATGTATTTATGTATGTATGTATATACACACGTATATACATGACACACCTTACCTATAATATCTTTCCAGGGTAGTTTTTTGCCGATTCCTCGGCGAGATGGCGCTACATTCGCCGGGTAGGTTTCACCCCCTACTAAAACGTAATCGCATTTCATTCCCTCTCGCGCTTCGCGCGATCGTACGCGCCGTTTATTCGGTGGCGCGTCGCAAAGCACCTTAAGGAAAGAGATAGGCATAGAAAGAAAGAGAGAGAGAGAGAAAGAGAAAGATGGATTTACGATTTAACGCCGACCGTTTGAACGATCGTCGATTGCCGTGGTGGTTCTCCCAGGTGCTCGATCGCAAAAGAGAATAAGCGAGAAAGAGAGAGAGAGAGAGAGAGAGAGAGAGAGAGAGAGAGAGAGAGAGAGAGAGAGAATAAGCGAGTAAGAGAAGGAGAGGGTTGAGTGTGTATAGGGGGGAGAGTAAAAGTAAGGAGAAGGGAGAAATGGGAGAGGGGGGAAGGGAAGATAGAAGGAACGGAGGCGCGTACGCACGTATGGAAGGTGGAAGCCGAATGCCATATACGGTCACCTTTGTCAAAGCCCGGTTGTCGCCATATACAGGCAATGTTCGCGATGGCAGACACTTATATAGAATCCGACTTAAGAGTCAGGAATGCCGCTTTTTGTCGCGCCTTCTATACACGCCCGACGGTAATGGGGGGTAGAAAAGGTGACTCGGAAGCGATCGACGAAGAAGACGACGAAGAAGAAGAAGAAGAAGAAGAGGACTACGACGACGACGACGACGACGACGACGACGACGACGACGACGACGACGACGAAGACGACGACGTACGTACGTTCGAAGCAGAAGCTACCGTTGGATGCTGCTGCTGGACCAGAAGCCGGCCGGCTACCGGCTACGCGCCCGCGCAATTTTCGTCCACTCTCATTGGTCCACCAGTCGATCCGGTTTATCCATAGAACCCCGTACCGGTGGTCCACTCTCTTTCTCTTTTTCTTTCTCTTTTTCTCTTATACAACTTGCCGTTGCTGTTACGCACACACATACACACACACACGCACATTCTCTTTCTCTCTCTCTCTCTTTCTCTCTCTCTCTTTCTCTATCTCTTTTTCTCTTTATCTCTCTTTCTATGTCGATCCCAATGCCGATACTAATGAATGCGTTCGGGGGTTTAACGAACGGCTATCGGCCACGAGGTCTCTTCGTATGATGTTCCAGTTTGTAATTCATTCGTGATATTTTTGTAAAAAGAATATCATCGGTCTCATTTTGAGCCTTCTGAAAGGATTTTTAATAATTGAGAGATTTGATCGGATATCGTATGTATATATCGGGGAGATATCATTTTTTTGTTTTGTTTTGTTTTGTTTTGTTTTCGGACAAATTGAAACGATATTTTATCTTGATAGTTTACTACGTGAAGTCTTGCAAATTCATCCCCGATCTCGTTTGTGTATCGTACGTACGTATCGAGCGTACGATCGTATTTTAGGTGTCTGTTGTTTCGATTAAATACATGTGAAACGTGTTCCGTTCGGATACAAAAGTGGGTATTAGTCCTTTTGTTTTAAGTCTTAAGAAACGCGATAAATTTCTCATATAAACCTTACCTCGTATATAAATCTAATACATATACGTATACCATAATGCATACCGTAATATGTACTTATGTCAGATTCTATAATGAATAAGGTGGAATAACGATCGACACGAAGAATCGATGAATATATGCGAATGGATGTGGGTGTTAATGGTAAGGTACATACGTTCTCCTAGTCACGTCTCGATAAAAGTGACCGAGGATAAAGATGAAAATCGTCTAATAACGACTTAACGCGAATCTTCAACTTCCGATCTTTCTATTTT